AGAGTGCCACAAAGCACACCGCAGAGAAGACATGCTCACTGCTGAGCCCTGTGCATTGAAACAAGGAAACTGTTTCACATGCATGACTCTTGTGTGTGAAAAGTGATGAATTTTTCCCCTGAACGAGGAGCTCATGCCTGGTGGCAGATCCACAGTGCCTTCAAAGCAAAATGCAACACTCACGCAGCTCACCAGTCTCTCCACAGTACTCCACATGCGCGCGCGCGCACACACACACACACACACACACACACACACACACACGCGCGAACACAAATGCACAAAAACCTTCTGGAGGCTGGAAGGCTTTTGAAAGTGAGGGCTAAAAGGGCTACATAAGATAACAGAGAGCCCTAGCCAGGACAGACAGAAACAGGAACTGGTTCAGGGGTTAGGAGAAGCCCAGTCTCCCTCATAGCAAACCAACAGGCTGTAGATGGGAAGCCAGAGCCACATGCTGGACAGGTTGGGAGAATGGCTGAGTTCACCACTCAGTGCAGACAGCAGCAGGCCCAAGTGTGTCAGTCCCAGCCCTGCCTTCTCCACAGCTCATGGTGGTGACTGCTGGGTTTAGGGACAAGAGTTGGGCAGATACAGAAAGCACCATGTGACTTGGAAATCATTCAGCCCTTGGGCACACTGCTGGAGCCTGCAGTCGCCTGAACTGCTTCTGCTATCTTGGTAACGCACGACCCCAAGAGGCATTTAGGAAGGAGAAGCAGATGGCCAGGCTAAGGATACAGATGAAAGTACTCACTGTCTGGTAGGTGATGACCAGCTGGACCACAGGCAGCGCGTAGAACACAGCAATGGTGATGATGTTCCTGTAGAGGGCAAGAACACAGTCATCACCTGTGGCAACCCAGCCAGCTCCCGCCCCAGGCCTCCACTGGGGCTCTTTCCAGTCTGACTCCCAAACTGCTCTCACAAGGAGAGCATCATGGGGCCCAGTTGCACAAGGGGAGGTAGAACTCCTAGGTTCTTTGGCCTGCTTCATTTCAGTGCCTTCCTGAATAAGGGAGTATCCCCTTTGAATCAGCTCCCATTTGCAAAATGGGGCTAGCAATGTGAAGGCAGATGGAGACATCCAGAAGTGAAATAGGGGGCTTTCATCTGGCATTAGGTGCATCTGCCAATGAACTCAAGGGTATAAGCCCCTTCCCCTCAGCCTTCACCAGGAGTCCTTCACCATCTCCTTTCTGTACTGACACCAGCCCCCAAGGCAGGGGCTGACTAAGGCTGGACAGAAGTGTTTCATATTTGTCCCTTAGTATTGAAATATCCATGCTGCTCTTTCATAAATCCAGCTTCCTTGTTGCTGTTCAGCTGACCTCTCCCCAGCTCCAGCCCATTAAGGAAAGCATACAAGTTTAGGGACAGGTATGAGTAGGGGGTGGTGAAAAGTCAGGCGCTATGGAGCTGCCAGGCCCAAGCTTCAGTCACTTGTTCCCCTCGCAATTATGGTACAAGCCAGTAAATTTTGATGAGGTGCAACAAGGCCAAGGCAAATGGTTCCCTGGACTGCCCAAACAGCCTCTCTTGCCCTTGCCTTCAGATGGTACGAAGCAGTGTGAGGAAATGAAAATGTGAGCACTGGCTCAGGCACAACACACAGACATGTCCAAGCCAGGGTGAACAGGACTCTAGGCACTAAAACAGGGCCCAGAAAGGCTCTAAATGGGCCTTCAAGAGTGGGATTTGGGAGCCACATTTAAGGGTGAAAAGGGAAAGACTCCCCAAAGGAGAGACTGTAGTACTGCCCACCTCCCCTCTACTCACCAGAAATAAATCTTGTACTTTTTGCTGACAATTCGCCGGTCCTTCCTGGACAAGTCTGACAGATAGAGAAACATCTGCAATCCCATATAGTACAGGAAAGAGAGAGGAAGAGAGAAGTCGCGAGTGAAAAGGAAACTTTTAGGAATTGTGGATGGGCTGTGGCAATACAGGTTGAGGGCATCTCCCACAGACTGACAGCTCAGAGCAGAGATTTTATGTATCAGTCACTTTGCTCCTTGTCTTCTCTGCTCTTTTCACTGGTGTCTTTTTGGACTCTTTCATAGATTCATAGATGTTAGGGTTGGCCTTCACCTGCTTCCTGCCATCTCATCTAGGTGCTTTCTCAGCCTTCCTGGCTGCACTTCCCCCCTTGCTCTTGTGTCTGGACAGAATTGCTCAATCTCACTTAAGCAGTACCTTTTCCCCAAAGCACTCAGGGAATATCCTGGGCTTGGGAAGACTGTGAAGTGTCAATCAGAATCTTTATTACATAAAACACAATTAATCTGTCCTTTAAAGAACAGCAAAGGCAGCGAATCACCGGAGTCCTGGACCTGATACCTCCACCCCACCTCATACAGCACATGGGACCAGAAGGCAGTGCCCACAGTACCTTGGTGCGAATGACGTTCTTATCACTCTCGATTTCCGGCATGGTGTCAAAGTCACTCTCCTCCTCCACAGAGCTGTCTGTGTCAGAACCACGCCGAAGCCCATGCTCTGGGGAAGACATCTGTTGGCCACCACTGGAGCTTGACTCATCTGGAGACAAAGGACGAAAGGTTTCTGTTAAGGTCGAAAGGGAGGAACGTGAAAGCATCTACCACATCCAGATCTCCTGCTGGGGGAACTCACCACTCCAGCTCCCTGGGATAAGAATGTCCTCTCTAAGAACCTCATGTACGCGCTCATGGAGCTGCCCCTGCTCTCCCCAGCATCTTACTTCTCTCTCTCTCACTAATAACAGGACAGAATTAGATACATGCCTTGTTTCACACCCCTGGCCTAAGCAGACTACCTGAAGCAGATGGGGACATGGATGGTCCCATGCACCATCTTCAGTTGGCTTGTCTCAGCCCCATCCATGCCCTATATGCAGATTCATGTAGGGCATGGATGGGGTATGCTGATGGGGGGTTGAAGAAGCAGAAGACAGCAGGGAAAGGCCTCTCACTCGCCGTAAGAGGGTCTTAAGGGGCCCTTCTTTATTGCCCAAATATCTGAATGGATCCAGGATGATCCCGGACAAGGGTCAGATAGCCTGTGTGAAAGCCTGAGTCTCTGACCCTACCCCAGTTCCCAGCCTTGGGTCCAAATCCCTCTGCAGCCCACTGAAAACTCTGCACATGTCACATCCTGTCAGGAAATCAGTGGCATTTATAAAGCACACCACTCCCTGCAGGCCTGGGCTGGGGTAATTGTTGCACCATAAGCATGGTTTAAACATACCATGCTCTGCTGCAAGAAAATACAGTCACCGTCTCTTCCATATCCATTCAACCCCCTTGGGCTGAATGCCTTGGCCAACTCCAAGCTGCCATGTAGAAGACCCAGGACACTGTGTTTTAATCCTTTAGCAGTGAGAAGTGGGAGGTCTAGAGTGGAGCACGCCCTTAACAGGCCTGGGCTTTGCAGGGCTTAGCAATGGTCCTTCTATGGCAACAAGGACTGGCCCAGCAGAAGCAGCCACACAATACAGCTCCCATGGACCTGACAGTGGCAAGGAGACTAGGGAAACTGTGCTTAGGGAGAAAGGAGCTTGGGTCCCTGCTGCCCTTAAGCCTGCACTTTGCCTTCCTCCCTGCACTGAAGTGGGGGTTGCACAGGCCCTGGGTCCATGCCAGAGACCCCTGAGAAGAGACAAATCCTGGGGTCTTCCACGTAGCTGATGTGACTTGCTCATGCTTCCAGGAGCAGACTGAGCACTAACTTTGGGTCCAGGCAGGAATTTTTCTCTAGGCTGGCAAGGACCTTGGGCTTCACCTTACTCTGTAGTGTGGGTGTAGTTCACTTGCTAGGATCACAGAAGCCTCCCTCTCCTCAACTCTTCACCACTGCAGGGACCTTGGGGACTGCTGACACCCTGAGCACACTGCGCAGAAAACCTCCCCTCGGGACTAGCAGGTGCATCTTGCTCAGGGGCAGACCGATGGTTGGGCTGGGGTCAGGAAGAATTTCCTCCCACCTCCCTCATCACATCAGCATCAGTCAGGCTGGAAGGATCTCACTCTAAGCCAGTTGTTTTCAACCTTTTTTCATTTGGAGATCCCTAAAAATGCAAATGGAGGTGCAGACCCCATCGAATTGTAAGTGCGGGTATTCACATACTTTTGATTGATCACAGTCATCTTTCGCGGACCCCTTAGACCCCACAGGGATCTGCAGACCACAGGTTAAAAACCACTGTTCTACAGCATGGGGCATGATGCAGATCCCCTGCTGGCACCATCAATTCCTGGCACCAAGCCTCTCCCACGCTCTGCAGTTTAGTTTCCCAAGGACCAAAATGTCCTGGATTGACCCAGTCACTGGGCTCGATACAGGAGTGACTAAGGAATGGCTTAGACACCCTGGTTCAACAGAGGGAGGGGATCTGGCAGCCCCATCTAGCTTCAACCTCTGTGAAAATATCTCAGTTCCTTTGCCCAGGCCTCAGTGCCCAAATCCAGCATGCTCCGTACCAATAGCACCGTAGCTGCTTCCCTCAGGCGTGCCTGCTGTGATAGGACGCGATGCAGCCATGGTCCTAGATCCTGCAAGGAAAACAAGGAAGTGGCCTACTACCCACAATGAAGCTGCCATATCCATGCTCCCTTCCCCCACCCAACTTGGTCTGCAGATGGGCAGTTGTTTTCACTGCTCTTGGATGAGACATATTTTATGGTTCTTGCTCCTGTTTTGTGCCCCCTGCATCTGGAGTAGAGCATGCCTCAGCCTCTCCCACTCCCAAATGGCATGGAGTTCCTCCGCTCTAGGTTCAGACCTTGCTTTGTGCTACCAATCTTCTGGTCTAATGTACAGTCATTCAGAAGAGGGGGGAGGAGGGGTGCACGCGCATGTACATGTGCTTTGCACTACTAACCTACCTGCCTAATGTACAGTCACTAATTTTGTGCGTGCGCGTGTGTGTGTGTTCATGCGCACACACGCCACTTTGCACTACCAAGCTCTATATCTAATGTATGATCATTACCGGTAATTCAGGAGAGGGGTGTGAAGGGCTTTGTGATGGTAGACCAAGGCATGACCCAGCATGAGGGAGAGAAAGCAGTAACACCGAGCACCCCAGGGCTGGCTAGGCCATAGGCTCTCCTCCCAGTTTCAGCCCTGCTTCCTACCTAGAGCATGCATGAGTCAGCCCCTCAGGTGCCCGTCTGCCCTGTGGCTCATCATTTCCTTTGCTGGGTGTGGCATGCCAGGTGACAGAACTGAGCCACAGGTTCCCTCAGATCTGCTACTCTGCCATAGGGCACTGAGAAGGCAGGGCCCATAAGTATAGCAAACAGCTTGGAGGCAGGACATGGAGAGAAAGGGTGTTGGGGGAGTGGGCGGACAGGAGCTTCAGGATATTTGGGGGTGAGGAAAAAGGGGTGGGTGGCTCACTCAGGAAAGGGGACAAGGGGTGCAGAGGGAAGATGAATGGGCAAGGAGGGGAGGACAATAAGAAGGGGGTGCCCTGTGGGCAGGAGAGCAAAACAGAATGGAGGGAAAGTCCAGTGGGGAGGGAGGGTGTAGAGCAGGCAAGAGGTGGGGAGTGTCTGGGCAATGCCATGGGGGAATGGGAGGGAGGGACAGGCTGTTCCAGGAGGTACAAATTGTAATGTCAGACACATGTACCACCCCGTGCAGAGTTCAACTAATCGTACATCCCAGGGAGTAATGGCACTCAGGATGGAGCAGCTCCTGGCCTGGCAAACTCCTACAGTCCAGGGGAGAGAAGAGGGGAACAGAGTGGCACAGAGGCATAAGGGGCTGTAGGGCCAGCTGGGGACGAAAGAAGAGAACAGTACAGAGGGCAGTCTAGGAAACAGGAGGAAACAAGATGGGGGAGGTCAAGATAGGCAGGCAGAAGAGGGCAACTTGGGAGCAGAGAGAGAGCAGGAGGAGAAAACCTCTTGCTGGAAGGGCAGAGAGGTGTGGGACTCTCCCTCAATCCAGCTCCCTGGGAGCCAGCCATATACTGCATGTGGCACAGCTGGAGGGTATCTGTGTACCCTGGCTTCACTAGCAGTGCTGCAGGCAGCAAAGATGACTCTCCCGTCCTGCCCCAGTGCTTAGGTATCAGCTTCCCTGAGGGAACTCAGCACCTGCACATCTAGAGCACCCCAGGTGCTGCCAGGGCACTGCCTCCAGCACAGAAAGCACAAGCAAACATTTCTCCAGGATCCACCTTAATGGGAGCTGCCCTGTCACCCCACTGAGGTCCTGGCTTCTTGCACTCAGCAGATGACTCCTTAGCCCTTTCAGCAGCCTCTGGAGCCCAAGTCAGATTCTGCTCTGACTGCCTGAACTCCACCTGGGTGATGGCACTCTCACTCATAGTGACTACCACCACACCTCCAACTCTGTGCCCTCTCACACTGCCCATGCCACATGCCTTGTGCCCTGGGAACAGAGTCGCCGTCCCGCACATTTTATCTCCTCCCCTGACAGGCATGAAGAAAACGTTCCAGATGTGATAAGAGCCTGTGTAATGCAGCAAGGCAGGCAGAGAGCCCAAAATAGCAACTGTGAACAGTGAATCACCCCCATTCATCTAACGTGAGTCTCAGCACTGAGCCCTGGCAATGCCAAACTGCAAAATGGTTCATTGCTGATTGCTTTGCTGTGAAACATCCAGCTGCATTTGTGGTGTAATCCATCAGAAAGGTATCAGGGTAGGGGAGAGTCAGGTTTGTTGGGGGGGAAAGAGGAGGGAAGACATGTAATTCAAGCTCCTTCCACTGCCCAAATTTAAGCTACACTTGAGAGGGGAGCAGAAAGAGACCTAAGGCTTCCCCTGCTTCCCAGGCACTCAGTTTTTAAAACAGCCTCCCATACCTCCCCAGGTGCCAGAAACCCAAACTACCCACCTGCCTCCAGCCTGCTCAAGCCTCCCTCTCCCCCTCTGGTGATGCCTACAATGCAGTTCTTTTTCAGACGAAAACTGTAGCATGAGTGCAGCAGAAAGCATATTGGACCCAGTGTCCAATACATAATGCAAACACCACTGGGCTGAACTAGTCAGTCATCTACTCACTTATATCCTCAACCCCACCCTTGAAGAGAGCTCGCCCCAAGGTCAGCTCAGGCAGGAAGAATCCCAGCATGCAAGACACCTGCCTGGGGCTGGTATAAACTACTAAAAATACCTGTTCAAAAAAGAACAGGTGACTCAGCCTTGGGGTTAAGGGCATTCCTCTCTACCTGGTGCATTTTAATTATGTAAATCTGTGAAACAAAATGCAGTGGAGTTCCTGATAACCATCCCCAACATCCACGCACTTCCTCTGGAGCCCAGTGTTTGAAAAGCCTTCCCTCAAACTGCTTCCCCCAAACTGAGTCAAGGTAGGAGCAGACAGGGGGAGCTCACTTAAACTGAGAATTCCAGCATCTGTTGCCAATTCCAGCATTCACCCTCAAGAATAATAAGACCCTGGGAGAGGCAGAAGAGGAAGCAGGTTGAAACAGACTCAAGGCAAATGGGACAAAAGGGACTATACCCTTTGTCCTGTCTGGCTGGGAGTCCCCAGGAGCTTACCATCATCGGGGCTGTACCTCTCAGCTGACGTCTTCCTCCAAGCCCTGGAAACAAGCACAGACAATACCCTAAAAACTCAGTCAGCCCTTCCCATTGCCCCCATTTCCAATCACCAGCCATTGCAGGTTGCAGCTTCTCAAAAGCCAAAGGCCAGCACTGTACAGCCCTTCAAAAGACAAATACTAGATGTTCAGCACTAAGCTGAGAGTAGCCTGATCTCCTACCACCTACATTTCTGCTCCCAGCAGAGCATCATGAGACAGAGGAACCAGGGGCAGGTGATCCCATTTCCTCTGACACATCAGCTAGCCACAGCCAGAAGCGTGACCAGTGACCTAATCCAGTCTGGCCAATTCATGCCATTTGGTCCCGAGAGCTGGGAGAACCTGGCTGATGGCCTTCAGCTGCCAAGCTTGCCACACTCTGGGAAATGAACACACCAACATCCACTTGAATAACTACAAAAGCACTGCCATATCAGGCTGGTGCACAGGAGACAGTGCACAGAAATGGACAGGTCACACCACTTGCCCAGAGTTCTCTGACTGTGACCAACCCCCAGTACTGGAGAAGAGGGTACAACTCACCCCTGTGCATATGCCAAGAGATGCACAATTCACTGCTAAGCCTCTGTGGCCTGGAACAGAGAGTCTGCTTCTGCAGACACCATGAGGCTCCTTGCATAGTCCTGCCTAACAAGCATGTTGCCTTTAGATGAACTATACTCCTGAGAGAACAGGCACAGGGGGAGTCTCACTGCTGGGAGCTCCTTGGAGACAATGACAGGCTTCCCGCAGCCCTGCTCACCCTTGCAGGACACAGGGGCATGCAGTCTGGGGTAGGATGGATGGGGATACAGGCTAAACCACAGCCTGCAGATGCCACAGCCACTGCCAGCAGATGAAGAGGAAGGGAGGGGGAGGAAGGACCAATGGCAAATGCTGGAATGACCAAAGAGGGATTGACCCTGCCTCCAGAGCAACCTGTTAGCCACAGATGCTGCCTCATCCTGCTATTTCAGAGGTAGGCTCGTCCCCTCAGGGCAGATCAGGGACCCCAGCGAAGGAAGCACAGGACAGGAGGGGATCAGGAAACCAGGCAATCAGGTTGATGCAGTGCCTGGCCTGACCTGCACCTTGGTGCCTCAGAGTCTGGAGGTCTCTGCCCTGGATTTCCTGGATCCTGAAGATTAAGGAGAAATGGAAACTTAGCCCAAATGCCGCCACTGTCAAGACAGCCTACCTACCTGACATAGTGCATACAGGCAACCATCAGTGCACCCACATAGAAGGAGAGGAAGCTCAGGAAGCTGAAGAGCATGGCCTGCACATAAACAGACTCTGAGGGAAGAGGATAGGTGGACAGTCATGTACCAGGGGAAAAAAAATAAATACATGGCTCCCTTCCAGCGAATGCCCTTGACCTCATCCCCTGCAGCACCTCCTGCTGACTCGCTCTTCCATGCCCAATGCTCCTGCCCCCAGGCGCCCTCCTTGCAGAAGATGCGAGCACCTCCCCTGCCCAGACAGCCTGCCCCCCATTCCTGCAGCTGGAAGTCCTACACAGTTGCTAGCTGTGCCTCCCTCTGGGGCTGCAGTGCAGGTGGGAGTTCCCTACCTTCCCCAGGGCTCCTGGAATGTTTCCTGCCCAGGAAAGCGAATGCTGGAGCACCGCCAGGTGCTCCCACAATCCCATGTACTCACCTGGAATGGAGGGCACAATGGTCACTTGAAGGTGTTTTGTCCTTTGCAGGTTCCAGGTGTGGTTGCCCTTGTCTGTAAGAAGGAAGGTGCACTCAGTTAACTACCCCAGGCATCGTTCAATGGCCAGAGCCAGCATCATTCTCTCACATCCTCATTTCCAAGTAAGTGAAGCTAAAATCCTGGTGAGGTCAATAAAAGAGTGTGTGGTGAAGCCACAGGCCTGGCTAGAACTCTCTTCCCAAGAGTTCTTGCTCTACCCACTGCCTACATCTTTCCTCTAGAAAGCTGTGCTTGGACCTTTACTATGCTGCTAAGGGTTTTGACTGGCTGAGACGAAAGTATAAGCCAACCCTGCCTCTCCCTGAGATCAGCCCACTGGGATTGTTCTGCAGCGTTGGGTCACTTAGTTGCCACTCTCCACTATGCGCTGGTCACTGCTTTTCACCTGCATGGCAACATGTGAGGAGCTGCACAAGGAAAAGAACTGCAAGGAAACACAAGGTGCTACAATATGCAGTTACCCAGCAGCCCTGCCCTGGGTGGGGAAAGCCTGGGGAATCTAAGCAGACTGCTGGCATCAGCCTGACCTCTCTCTCTGTGAGGAATTTTTGTGTCACGCTAAGGACAAAAAACACTGGTCTGGATTGAGCTGTGGATCTCCATGGAGACAAATGTTTCCCTGCTTGACTGTTAGCTAGCAGCTCTCCTGGGTGTTCGGTTACCTCTTGCAAGATGCACATAGGTACTTCCAGCCTGAGGAGGCTGAGGCAGAGCGACCATTAGGGTATTTTATGCTTTCCCAGAAAAGAAGGTTATTAGGGACCTGGGCTGCACCCACAGGCTGAGGTGGCATAACAAAAAGGAGCATGTTCTCCAATTAGTCTGAATAAGAGATGGGTCTCCTGGAACTGCCGACTTGAGGCCGAGTTGATTGTCATTATTTCTGACTGGCTGACTTTCTGCTTGTATAGCTGGGCCCCCTGCCTATCTGAACAATTCTTACCTTCCATGGTAATGCAGGGCTTAGGAGCACAGCCAGGAGCTTGGGCCATGTAAATACATCAGAAAACATGCACAGATCCTGTTTAACCCAAAGTGGGGAATGCGGAGGATGCCTGTGATCAGGACACATCTCCTCCCCTCCATGTTCATTACCACTCCCATCAGCTGCAGTCTTTGCACAACACACACAAGGTGTGCACTGTCTCTCCACCATGTTGTCACTCATGTTGACCCTCCTCCTCATTTCTCTGTCCTCTTGTTCTCATGAGACCTGGCTCCCCTTCTCCTCAAACCCACCTCTACATTACACCCTCCTCCCATCTGGCACCTTGACAGTGCATCCAACACTTCATTGTCAAAACCAGCGCCTTTCCTCCCCACATTCACCCCGAAGGGCTTTGTCTTTCACACAGAGGTCCCACCATGGCCCTTGGCCACCTCTGACCCTGGTTAAGCCACCTCTTCTTCCAACAAGCCTTCTCCCTGGACTTTCCCTAGTTGAGCACAGCTCCCAGAGGGCTCTCTCCAACACGAAGATCCTTCATCACTGCCACCATCTCCTGTCACCCTGCCAGAACCTCTCCCCCACAGCACTCAATCCTGGCCTCCCTCAGGTGACCACTGCTTCCTCTGCTCCCATAGCCCTGGGTCACCTCTGGGAAAGAGCTGTGAGACAGGGACCCCTCTTCCTGCAAGTGGGAGGATGGCACTGGAGGAGAGGATGGAGCTGTAACCAGCTTGGCTGGAGCCTCTCTTTCAGACTTCCTCCAAGATCACCTTCTCAGTCGCTTAGGCCCTGCTAGACCTCTCTTTAAGCTACCACTGGCTTCCTCCTGCTCATGGTATTACATTTAAAATGCCTCAAAACTCTACACACCACCTAGTACTCTATTACTCTCAGCTCTCTCCGCCCCAGGGCTTGCAAACTGGTGCCCCTGATGTTCACTTCCTTCTCCCACTCTCACCCTAGAGCCTTTTCCTGCCCTCCCCCTCTTTCTGCACCCCATGCCAACTGCCATACTCTCAATATTCAGATCCCCATTCTGCACTCGCCTCCTTTCTGGGTGCCTGCCAGAAGGACACCTATAATAATCATCAGGAAAAGTAAGGCCTCACCGCTGCCCCTACATCCCTTTGCCCTCTGCACATACTATTTCTTCACTCTTAGACTGGGCTACAGTTTGCCCTTAGAGAAGCATCGTATACAGCACCAGGCACACTGCTGACATTAAAATAACAATCAACCCAATATGCCCATCTGCAGATCCTCTCCAAGGCTCTCATAGGCACTTGCAGACCAATGCCATATTGGGGCAAGTAGGGTTCTCCCACTACTGGAAACACTCCTGAGGTCTTTTGGGAATGATATTGTCCTTTCATGTACAGAGCAGATCACTCTTGTCATTACTGATCATGAGGACCACTCTCCTGCTTCCTAGTCATCATCTCAGCTCTGGGGATAGGCCTACTTCCCTGTACAGATGCAACTCCTAGACCCACTCAATAGGGTTTGCAGGAAACTCCGGGCAGAGTAAAATTTTGTTCTGCTTGGCCTTTATCTGTGTTTTTTCTCAGGTCCCTAATCATCTCTCATCTCTGTGACGCTTCCTTGATGTGGCTCCCTTTGACACACAACACTACCATTTCACCTGAGGGCCACAAATAACAACCTATGGTACAGGCACAGATCTGGGGGAGCGGTGCATTGATGCAGTTTCACACACCCCCGCTTTGATTCCTGCTCCACCCAAACTTTAGAACCAACTGCCTGGAAGGGGCAGCAGCATTTCTATTCAGACAGAGCTAAAGTCAGCTGATTTCATGGCTCATTATAATGTACCTGATTATTGCTAATCTCTTCACTCCATAGGTGTTACCAACCCTCCCCCTTTCTTAATGATCTTGATGTTCTATTCATCATGTTATCCTTTCTTTTGCAATTCTGCTTTCTGTTAGCCATGCCTGGTAGTATTTCTCATTTATTACACAGACTGTTTTTAATTCTAGCTAAAAATCTTAACTCAGGTATGGTAATGTTAAACTTAGATGAACATTAACTTGGGGTGGACATGGTTGACAGTGAAGTGTTGGATCACTATCAAGATGCTCAAGAAGGTTAGGTTTTGCTTTACAAATCTGAATGAGAGATGTACATTTAACTATGATGACTACAGGACTAACAGAAAAGTATCTTTTGGCTGTTTTGGCTTAGTTTGCTGTGCTTTTGAAATATATAACCTAGCAAATCAGTGTACATTCCCATAAAGTTATATTTGTTTTTGTTTTGATCTTAAACTGGATAACACAGCCCTGGGCCCCTAACATATTAGTAAAGCTTTTAGTTTCAATGGCCTGGAGAAAAATGTGTTGTGTTGTGTGACATTGCACCATACCACCTGCAACTCCGCTTTTCAAAATTTTAGATCCACTCATAGGCCCACCATCCAACCTGTGAGAAACCTTAAGTTAAAGCACCAGCTAAAGCCCCTGATACATCTTACCCTGGATGGTGGAAGGCACAGAGCCCCCGCAGGCATAGTCTTCTGGCTTTATGACGAACACCACAAAGAACTGCTCACCTGTGAAGTCCTTCTTCTGCATGAAAATAAAACAAAGAAAACCTTAGAAGGAAGGACAAGGAAGCTACTTCTGCATCCAAGTTAAAGGGGTTAAGGCAGCTAAAGGTCTGATCTGGACCAGACAAGCTGCACTGAATTGACTGCATCCTCTTTTGCATGTGCAGAACCACAGCATAGATGCATCTGTGTAGGCCTGAGGCTGTCTAGGGGCATGCTTTATGTAATTCAGTTGAGCTTAAGTGATGCTGAAGCAAAGAGAAGCATCTGCACCATGTGGTTGCCTGACTGTAAGAAAGTCACTGGTGAATCAATCCCAGCTGCACCAGCAGAGATTTCCTGATCCAAGGCCAAACTGTGCCCTTAACGTCTTAATCCCTCAAAGTGCTGTTTGAACCTCAGTTAAGAGCAGCAGGGCTATAGTCTAGACCAGCAGTGTTCAACCTTCTTGCCTAGTGGGCCAGACTGGCAGTGCCAGGTTCATCTGCAAGCAGGGAAGGGGCATGGCCAAGCCCTGTGGGGGATGGGGGCATGGCTAGGCCCCAACCTAGCCCCACGGGGGGAAGTGGCAGAGCTAAGCCCCAATGGGAGGGAAGGGAGTGTGGCCTGACCCAATGTGCGAAGAGGTGGAAGTCTGGCTGGCTGAGCTCCAACTGCCCACTCAAGGCTTGGGGTTTGGGAATTTGGCAGGGGAAGGGTGGCTGTATTAATTGCCACCACTCCCCTGCCAACAAATTTCCTAACCAGTAGGGAGCCCTGTAGGCCAGATGTAATGGCTCTGTGAGCCACACCTGGCCCATGGGCTGGAGGTTGAGCACCCCTGGTCTAGAGACACAAGGGCCCTGGTTCCAGTCCCTGTCCTGAGCTCACTAGTGTACATTACTTCCCCAAGCACACTGTTCACATGCTGCCACAAGTGTAATTATCCCTGCTGGGCATGTTCAGCTGGAGCACCTGAGTCACACTGGACTAAAATGTGCAGTCGCACTGAATATCTGCATGCCCTCAGTGTAATATGAGATCTAATCAGCGACTCAGACAGAAGAGCACTCTGCTACTGGAATGAAAGGTCTGTTGTTCTCCAGAGAAATAGCCAGAGTTCCTTCCAGACAGACAGCAAAGGATTCTCCAAAGCCAGGCATCATGCATGGGGCCCCTAGGACACTACTTTGGAATCAGAATCCTGCCTTCCCCATGTGCAAAGCACACAGCAAAACCAGCAGGTCCCGCCAGGAGTGGCTGGGGATTCAGCTCTACCAGGAATCAGGGTCCTAATACAGATTCCTAAATGCAGGCTTGGGAACTTCATTTTCGGCCCCGTCTCCATCTCACATAGTGGGGCACATTCCAATTTGTAACAGAAATCCCAGCATCTCACGACAGGAACAAGCACAGCAAGTATTTTAAAACACAGGTAAGTGAGTCAGTACTGTGAGAACTTCTGGGGAGAGATGTTTTGAGACCTTTGGGCCTGCTTAACCCATGAGGCAAGTACAGCCCAAGCAGTGTCATGGACAACTTTTCCATATGCTTGCTGGGATTGTAAAGGGTTTCAGTTTTTAGGGCTGAGGCAGTATGTGACTGGCTGCAGCTCCCCAAGCCTCTTCTCTGGGAAGACAGCCTGAGCTGGGTAAATTAAAGCAAAAAAAGGAATCGGATCACCTCCCATGCTCTATAACTAGCCCTGACACTACCCTGTTGTGTGGGTTGAGGCAAGTCACTTTCTCTCTCTCCCTGAGACAGCTTCCCCATTTGGGGTTGGAGGTGGCCCTGCCCAGGGCAATACCCAGTGGGGGTCTACTGGGTCCTTTGATTCCTGTTCTACCCAAAGTTTAAAACCAACTGCCTGGCAATGGCAGTGGCAGCGGCATTTCTAGTCAGGCATCTCTGAGGGAATCACTTGACTTCATGATTCATTACAATCTACCTGATTCCTTCTAAACTCTTCAACCCACAGGTGTTAACGACCCTTCCTCCTTTTTAATGGCCTTGATGTTCCACCAATCAAGCTATCCTTTGTTTTGCAATCCTGCTGTCTGTTAGCTGCTTCTGGTAATGAAGATTCTATTTCACAGCCCTGCAGATTACTCCCAACTCATTCCAATGAAGTTATATTTGTTTTTGTTTCAATCTTGAACTGAATAACACAACCCTAGGTACCTAGCATATTAGTAAAGCTTTTAGTGTTTTTTAACTCAAGAAAAACATGTGGTGTTGTATATGTGACAATGCACCTCACTCTATCCGCACCCCCCTTTTCAAATTTCTAGATCCACAGTGGATGCACAGAGAGGGAGTCATTGAAAAAGAGCACTGGGACACTGGGGTGGGAGTCTCACCTGGATAGTGATGGCTGCTTGCTTTGTCATGGACTGATAAACACCATTAAACTCCACATTGTGGTCCAGATCATATACTGGGCACTAAAACAGACATAAACAATGAGAAAGTCCAACGAATTTTGTAAGGAGCCATGAGAAAAGCGGACTTGCTTTGCCACCAGATAGTCAGTCTGGCCAAGCTCCCCCAAACTCAAAAAAGCAACAGAAGCCACATTCTTCTTTAAGAATGACATGGTACTACCTGTCACAACCCCACCAGGACTTCATGGATAGTGGAAGGGCTCTGCCTGTAATCACTAGGGCAGCAGCCCCAGTGCTAAGTGTGCATGCAGGGCCTGGCAAAGCTGCTCTGAGCACCTCAGCCATGACCAGCACTCCACTGACCTCCAAAGTCCCAAACTAAATCAGCCTAATCTTGAGGGCGGGGAAGCAGCCAAGCCACTTACCCTGCCTGTGGCTCAGGGTGCACTGCAGCAAGACAACAGGTAGAAGGCATCTGTTATGTGCAATCTAACACTTTTCCTCATTTCCCCCCCACAACTCCAGCCCCCACAGCTCCCCACTTCCCTATTTTGTACAATCACCTGTTTGCCCTAGCTGGACCCTGAAATGCAGGGCCACACGCAGGGATTGAGATCCCCACTCCATCTTCTCCTTCTGGCTGTTCCAGCTCCTCTCAGGGTTTCTCAGATAGCAGCCAAGGCCTCCTTTACCTCTCTTTCTCACTGCTCCCCAACCACCCAGTGCCTGTCAGGACTGCCTTGGAAAAACAGGTGGCCCAGCCTGCTGCTTCTCACTGCCAAGGGGAAGTAGCCATGACACAAAGGGGGAAGGACCAACAACCATTGACAGAGAGTCAGGAAGAGAAGGGACTTGGTAGGAAGAAAAACTGTGGAAGGGGGAGGGAAGGGTTAAGTGGAAGCAGAGAACATGAACAAATTTCTCTGAGGCACAAGTATTTCTGCTGCCCATTCCCAGCTCCAGGACCAACCTGCTGGGTGACTGGGGAAGGTCCTGTTATCTCTGTGCCCCCAATTACCCATCTGTAAAACAGAAGGCAGTACCACTGACCTCACTCACCAGCAGGTGAAAGATGGGAGCATTGTCACCAATAGCTCAGTATTACAAGGCTGGATGAGAAAACTGTTTCTTTCTAACTAACCTCCACAGAAAAGCCACCTGAGATCTCAGCATGTTGGCCTTTCTCCTTCCTTCCACAGGGCCCTCATTCCCCTCCCCTGCCCCTAGGCTGTTCCTCTACAGTGCAAACTCCTCAAGGCTTCCCTCGACTAGGTTCATGGTCTCGCATGCTGGGATCCAGGTAGGCCACCATGCCCCAATCCCTTGCTGTTGCAGGCTGAAAGGCTTTTCCCATCCCCAACTTACCACAATATCCTGAACAGAAACCACGGAGCAGGGATAGACGGTCTCCGATACCACTTTGATGATGACAGAATCCACATCTTGAGGGAACTTGTACAGGAAATACTGAAGAAAGAACAAAGTCCCATGAATTAGAGGGCAGGGGAGTCCCTCTCTCATCACCTCCAGGGCTCAGAGCAGCCCCAGGAAACCTGGCTGAGAGGTCAGACCTGAAAGGCTTTCCTCAGGCCATCTTGGACTTCAGATGTTTTAAAAAACCCTTGAACTCCACAGGAGGGCTTGGCTGAAGGTACAGAACAGCCCCCTTTCCTCTCAGCACACATGTGCAAGAGAACAGGCCTTATGAAGAGAGGCTGCAAGCTATGGGATTCTTCAGCCTGGAGAAGCGCAGGCTCAGGGGTGACTTGGTGGCAGCCTATAAGTACATAAGAGGTGTGCATCAGGATCTGGGGTTCGCCAGAGCACCCCAAAGGATGACAAAATCCAACAGTAACAAACTCTTGCATGACAATTTCAAGCTGGACATAAGGAAAAACTTCTTTACTGTGCGAGCCCCCAAGGCCTTAAACAAGCTCCCCAAAGAGGTGGTGCAAGCACCTACTCTGGACTCTTTCAAGAAACATTTGGATGCTTATCTTGCTGGGATCCTTTGACCCTAGCTGACTTCCTGCCCCTGGGGCTGGGGGCTGGACTTGATGATCTTCCAAGGTTCCTTCCAGCCCTAATGTCTATGAAATCTATGTAGTACAGGGCATATCCCAAGAGACACCTGGGCACCGGAGTTAGAGAGCAAGTCCCACTCATTGCTGTATGGCAGTGGGTAAAGTTCTAAAAAGTGAATGTACAGTAAACTCCATTTCTAGACTGCAAGAGGTGCAGTTTCTGTTATGCAAGCAAACGGAACAAGAGCAGTGAACCTACAGACAGCAAGCAAGGCTGCTGGACACTTCCCTCTGTTGTCACTGGCTTATCCCCTGACCAAAATGGAATGGTTTGGGCTAAATGTATCCATGATTGCTACTTGCCTCAGGCTTCTGGGGTTTGTTTGGTTTTTTTTAATTTAGTGAAAATTATTCCACCATTTTGGAGAACAAGGCTGGGGAAAATAAGTCAGTTTGCCAATGCTAATTTTTTTCTTTTCCTCCATGGTTAGAAGTAGGGGCTTAAAATATAGCAGACAGATGGCCCTGGAGTCAGAGAAGCACCTTTTTCTGTCCCTAAAAAAATCATTTAAATGTGGCCAAAGAGTAAGGGGGGGGGCAGTGATAACCCACTAGAAACTGGCTACTACAATTAGAAGCTGAGTGGAATAATTTTTTTCTTGGTAGGTCAGAAAATGCCAGTCTGTCGATACCAAAATATTTCATGGAAAATCAGACAGGCTCCAGGGAACTCAGGCACCCTGGCCTATGACTCGCCAGCAGCCCCATGGCCAAGGACATGACAAATTTCAGTCCAGGCCAACTCCCTGAGAGTTGGGGAACAAGGGTCACTGCAGGGATCAAAGCAGCTTTGGGAGTGCTCGCACAAGTAAGGACTCTGAATGTCTTCGATCTTAGTGCTACACCATGGAGCCTAGAAGTTTGGCAGCTTCAGGATGCCCAGCAAGGAGAGTAAATGCCCTAAGACATGAAACCTGAGCTGGGGCTCTCAGGCTTCTCAACTCCCTATCTCAGAGAAGGAATTTGCCAGACTCTGGGGGACTCTCTGTACTTCACAGTCCTTAGTAAGGAATAAGAGCCTTCCTTCCTACCTCAGGAGCCAGGTAAATATCTTCTCCCCTCTAGGACAAGGGTTCTGCTTTAAGTTTTGGGCAGAACCAAACCAGAATTTTTCCAAGTTTGTTATTTTCCACTAGAGATCTTTCCTTCTGCTCCCACTGCTACAAGCATGAACAGTTCACTGCAAAATGAACAACTGCACCATATTCCAGCTCTAGACCTTAACACACACCACTCAGTTCCCACCCTCCTGCACAGACTCTAGCATGGGAACATATAGCAGCTGGGCTGCGGGCCAGTCAATGAAGCAGCCAAAGTGCTCAGTGCTCCAGTTACAGGCTGAACAGTAATCCAGTGGTAGGCAAGCAAGGCTGCCATTAATAAAGGTACATCTGCACTGCATAGTGTGAAGAAAGCCCCAAGCTAGCTCCCAATGACTTGGCATGGGCACCAGAAGCCATGTAGCCAAGGTCACAAGAAGCTGCTCACGGGTACATTTTCAGCAGGGAACATTTGCCCAAGCCGAGTTGTGTGCTGATGAGCTGAGACGGCATTGGTATTCAAGCAAACATGCTCAGGCCAACTCAGAGAGCTCTATACAGCACCGCACTGTGCAGAGTAGAACACCTTCAGAGCACGCTCTAATTTGTACCTAGGGCCATGTCAGTCCCTGGAACAGAGATAATGTAATGCAAAGGTAGCCTTTATACCTCAGACTCTTGCACAGCACCTCCAGGAGGGCACATATCTGGGACAAAGTAAATCTGTAAGTGAAAATACCTGTTCTCTTAATCTAGGGCCCAATCCTGAGAGGTGTAAGGAGCTCACAATTCTCACCAACTTGAATAGGTAATGGAAGTCCTCAGGATTATTACATCTACTCAGGCCCTCTGCCAGTCATCAGCATTTCAGCTAGTTCTGGATGCACTAAAACCCCCCAACCCCACACTAGTACACAAATAGGTTTAAAAAATGAGCACAGACAGAGTCACCTGCCTCTGGCAGTAATGTTCATTCAATTCTGCTCAGATTAAAATAGTTCATTTTTTGCATGCAACTGTTTTGGAGAGTTTCAAAGATGTTAACAATTTTTTTTTTTTTTTTTTTTTTTTTTTACAGTGGTCCTTGCTCATGAGCAATAGCATCTTCAGAGCACTGCTGCATTTCTACTGAGCAAAGATCTTTTAGCCATTCATCTTCCTGCTTACTCAAACAATGAGCTCTAAAAGCAAGGAGAAAATTAGCAAAAACATTGAAAAGGAAGAACATTTTTAATGGGGCCGAGACCAGAGTGTTACCTAAACTTTAAATATGAAAGATTCTTCTCTAGGGCTTCCTTCCAAAGAGATGTGTTAAGATTATTGTATGTCAGCACTCAAATAATTGTTTGATTTTTTTTTTTTAAATAAAAGTTAAAACCTTTTCCCTATAAGTATACACCACCACCCCCCACACACACACTTTTAACCCAGGAAATCTTCCCTCTCATTTCCTATACATTATATTCCTTTCTGCACATCTGGAAAATAGAGTATGGTCAGGAATGGAGTTTTGAGATCAGTGAATGCTTTTGTTTTCAATTTATTTCCTTCTTCATTTTGGTTTCTTGTTCTCTGGCTCTAGATAGTAAGAGAATTGCTTGATGAAATGTTCAACAGTTATTTACAAAAAAAGGGTGGGCTTCCAATTATTAAGCTGTGTTCTGACCATTCCAACCACAACTAAAATCAACAACCTAATGTATCATCCACTGTGACAGATGATAGACTGCAATGACATCAAAGATAACTCAGCCTGATCCAAACCCCCCTAAGTTCAATAGAAAGGCTCCCATTGGCTCTCACGAATTTTGCCCAAGGCTGTAAGTAATAAACATCATCATCCTTGTGTTCCTACCATAAACAGATGTCAACGTAAGAAACCTGACAGCAGAATCAGGCAGACTGAGATGCCTGGCAATGAAAGATAACTTTGACCTAAGAGGTAGGGCAGAACTACCAAAAAGAGATGAAATGGAATAATGCTTGGCTATAAAGTAGGGGTGTGCAAAGCGGGCCCTATTTGATTCAGATTCGACCCAAATCAGGGACAGGGATTCGATTAATTGATTCGGATCACTGTCCCTGATTCGATTTGGCCAAATCCAAATCTGAAGATTTGATGCTGATTCGGAGAATCAGCAATTCAGACAGACATAGCTTTTAAAGTTTTTCCTACATACCTTGAGGTAGCAGGTGCGGCTTGTGAACGCTGTGATGCTGCGGCGCATGGAGCGTCCCACAGGAGTGCAGGGGGGCCCTCCCCATGCTCAGCGGTGGACCCAGAAGTGGACCGAAAATATTTCTGGTCCACTTACGGGTCTGCTGCCGAGTGCACTGGGGAGCCCCCATACTTCTGTGGGACACTCCATGCGCCCCAGCATCACAGCACTCACAAGCTGCGCCTGCTACCTCAAGGTATGTAGAAAAAACATTTAAAGCTGTGTCTATGTCCAAATCTCCGAATCTCTCCAAATCAATTCGGAAGGTTCTGATTCGATTCAGAGAGATTAAAAGGGTCCTCTGATTTGATTCAGATTCGGCAATTCGGCTACCAAATTGGGCCAAATCTCTGCCAGATCGAATCAGGGACTGAAGCTTCACACAGCCCTACTATAAAGCACTCAAAGAGGCCAGATTAGGTCATTGGGGGGCGGGGAGGGAGGGCACTTGCCACTCCTAACAGATTGCCCAGACTACTGAAGGAACGTTTCTGAGTAAGGGTAATCACAGGGCAGTAGGCCTGGCCACTGCCTTTGGAAAATAGAGAGGGAGGGCACAAAAAAAGCTGCAGCTGCAGTGGCAGCTGGCTATACCAGTGCCATCAGCACTGTGACTGCTCAGGGCACAGAGTTGCCCTTGCTATGCCTCTGCTTTTAACATCTTTTATATGGTGTCAAAGATGCTCTGTGAGAAGCAGAGGCTTTGCATTGGGACCTCTTTCTAAACCCACAAAGATGCCAAAAACAGGGGAAAGCTCTTCATCCTGAGAGGAAAACAGACTTGTTCACAGAGGTTTTTGCCCTCTATGCCTGCTAGGGTCATGTCTGTACCCATTTGCTGGTGAAAAGACCAATGTAGGAGACAGCATGAAAGACTCCTGCTTACCTGTGGCTGAGAAGGGCTGGCAGTGAAGTTGAAGGCTTTGTCTGTCCTGGAAAGGAGAGAGATGGGTAAGGTGAAGGCTCCCTAACACTCATAGAAGCAAGGCCAGCACAATCACCAATTTGACAGTCCTGTAGCGCTGCCTTTGGGAATGTTTCAAGCAACCAGACCAGTGGGGTGTGTGTGTTTGTAGGGTGGGCCACTCCCTCTTTTTAGTCATTCTAAGGGACTTAAACAATGGGAGAGAGTCAAACCCATTGTACAGGGGTAGAAGTGAGTGTGCACACACAGGGCAAAATGTGGTCAGCTGGAGGGGGGCACAGGGCAGGGCACAGAGGCTCACTCTACGAGATGTCTGAAACACCCAGCCCTGGAAGCTCAAGCAGAGAGAACCGTCTCACCAAAAGCTTCTCAGAAGTTGGCAACTCCAGGACACAACTACAGGGGATCCAACTGCTCTTATGAAGCCAACAGGATTGTCCTCCTCTTCCTGTGCAGTGCAGCCAGAGCCCTTTTCTGCTAGCCCCACCGCAGAGGACAGGAAGGGGCAAGGCCCACAACTCCACAGATCTCCTAAAGCCATGGGGCACAAGATCTCACACACTGCCTCCCAGTGTCAGGTCTGGGTCCCCTGTGGCTCCCCGTCAACACCCAAACAGCACAGCTTCATCGGGTCTATTCTTTCACAGGTTCCCAGGGTGGAAAAGCTGCAGACAGTCTGACTCAACAAAAAGCTGGCATTGTTTCTAGCTGTCCCCATGGGTGCTAAAGAGAGCAATAGGCATTTTTCCCATTTAGACAATCCTGCCTGCCCCATGTCACAAACCCCTCCAGGCCAACAAGAATTTGTGTGTGTGGAAAGGTACAGGCACCCCTGTTGCAGAAGGAGTTGACCCAATTGTTCCATATGGGAAGCAAATCCCCTCTGTGCACAGACCACGGCAAGCAATCTGGCCCTACATATCTATGGAGGAACAGCAGGTAAGCAGAGTCCTCATGGCAAGCTCTACCCAACCCCCATCCTCAAGTATCACAACAGCCAATCCACACTGAAACCTAAGAAGAAATACAGCATAGCACTCTCCAGAGGACACTGAGCCAGTGGTTGTAACCAGATCAGAAAAAAGGAGTGAAGAACATTATGATTAGGCCCCAGGACTGGGAAGCAGACATCATGCCTCAAAGCCTGACCTGCTTAAAGCAGCTGTCAGGGAGGGAGTCCCGTCCCCACCCTTTACAGCCACCCAAGAAGCACTGCACTGCATTCTAGGTGCTTCATAGGTAGGTTTCACCTTACTCAGAATGAAAGGTTGGCCAGTGCTGGAGCTTGGATGCTGGGCCAGGAGGACCAGTGGCCTGCCTTGGTGTAGCATCCCTTTGTTGCCCTTAGTTGAGAGGTGCAGAAACAAACAGACAAGGAGCTTGTTCCTGTTAAAGGCTGCCCAGTGAAGGGGCTACCATGCTTCAGGGAGCCTGCCTCACTGGCTGGTGAAGAAAAAAGATCTACTTATGCTCCTCAGGACAGATGCAAGAAGAGGAGCTAACTTGGGGGGTTCTTGAAGGTAAGTGGAAATGGCCGCTCCAATTCTTCCTAGTCCAGAGTGACAATACAGTGGGGTGGCTCCCAGTGCCAGCCCTGCCATCACCACAAGGAAGACTGCACTTCCCTTCTGAGGGATGCATTTCTCTATCCTCACCTGGCACTATGTATCTGGATGTGACCAGAAGATGGCAGCTCAGGCCTCATGATCCAGGTGACAGCTCTCTGAGGACCTATGGGATCCCCCCTCCCCTGAGAACATGGCTTTAGTAAAGAGTCTGAAATGCCATGCAGCTGTGAGTCACACTAAGCTGTGCTGCGATGGGCCTTTCACTGCCCAGCACAGCAGCAAGGGACATGTCTGCAGAGGTCATAGAACTCTGTTTCATCTTCTAGGCTGGGCAAAGCACAACACCAGGCACTGGACCTGTGTGCATCGGTGTATGACTGGGAGCTGTCCAGTCCCTGGAGAAGCCTGCATCACACAACCACCTCCCTCACACACCCTACTTACATGAGCTGGAAGTTCTTGACCCTGGTGACCAGCAGCTCATACTTGATAGGAGATGGGGCCATGGAAGCCACATCAACAAAGATGACCTGCTCCAAGGGGCCAGTATCCAGTGCAGGCTCTGTCGGGCACAGGGTCCGGCTCACCTCCTGGTAGTTGTAGGTCCTCTGGTAACTGCATCAGCCAAAGAAAGAGACAGTCAACAGCCACTAAGTAAAAGACAGAAATAAGCTCTTCTCCTTTACATCTCAGACAAACAGGGTACCTTTCCCCACACAGCTGGAGCCTGAGACTGAGAATCCAGGGTCCAGACTTGTACACAGAACATGAACCCCATGCTTGACAGCACACACATTCACAGAAGGAGGAGGGGATTCTAAAGTGCAGAGTGGACAGGATCCCCTGCCATTTCTCTCTCTCCTCCCCCTGATCTAACCCTTCTGTTGTTCACAGCAGCACTGGACAAAATCTCCTGCACAGAGGTGAAGCTGCGCTCTACTTGCCTGATAGAAGAGTCCAGACCCAGGGAAGGAAATTTTGATCAGATATCTTCAGCAGAATGTTTTCACCTGAAAAAACTAATTCCTGGGTTGGGAATAGGAGTGCCCTACTCTTCCTTCCACCCAACAGGCCGCCAGTCAGGACGGTCAACCAGGGTGTGATGGACTTGGGTCTAACTCCTTCCTCTGCCTCACAGGATTCAAACTCCTTCTCCTTTCCGTCCTTCCTGGAGAGTGCCAGAAGGCAGGGAGGTCTCAGCCTCTCCAGCTGACACTCTTCTGCTTTGAATAAATAGTTAAATGTTCATGGGAACAGAGGCCAATGCCCAGGTGCCCCAACCCTCAGGTCAGCATCCTCACCATCAGCCTTCATCTCCCTCTCTCTCTCTTACTGGTCATTAGACCAGAATCTTATCCAAAATGGAACAGCTTCACCAGGAGTGGTCCACAGACACCCACCACAAGGTGCCCAGGCACCTGGTGATGAGGAGACCCTCCTAAGAGGTGGTTCCAATCCTGCAGCGTGTAGATCTAAACTCAACCTCCCCCACCCATAATCCAAGTAGATGCCCCATGGCTAGGTTATGGGATGGAAGGGGGAGCTCTATGACCTCTTCCTGGGTGGGAGGGGCGGGGGTTGCTAATTGAGCCTTCCTTTCTCTACAAGTACCAAGCATTTGATTTCAAGTCAGAGTAAACATCCTGTTCAGCACAAAAGTTTGTTTCCTTGTTTGTTTCTCACTTCAGCAAGATACAAACATTTAATTCCCTTCAGATCAAAATGAATCCCCCTACCCTGATTTTTCTGGCTCAGCAGTCCAACTGAAAAAAGGTCTGCAGTCTCATGCACAGTCCTTGCCCAGCCGTCCTGCAGGGAGGGAGCGGGCTGGACACCTATGCCAGGCACAGCTGGACTCTGCAGCACCAGACCCAGTAGAACAGGGGTAGGCAATTATTTCGGGCAGAGGGCTGCTTACTGAGTTTTGGCAAGCCATCGAGGGCCACATGACAGGCAGCCAGGGGCAGATAAATGTTAATTTTCTAATTTTTAGGGGCCCTGTGGGCCGGATAGAATGCCCCCTGCAGTAGAATAAACCACCCTGCAGCACTGAGGAATAAGGGTGATCACTTGGAAATTTTCCCTTCAGCTGTGACTTGTGGGTGAGACAGAATCTCAGTGACAGGGAGGTTCTCAGATGTGGCTGTGGTGGGGGAGTTGGGCACCACTATTCAGGAGAGTGACCTGGAGGTGCAATGTGCAGATCACACCATGGTTTCACTGTTGCCCTCGAGTTAGTCATGAGGCTCCCCTGCCACTCCTGTGCCCAACCCCAACCTTTACCAAATCTTTCAGGCTTTATCAGTAGTTAGCTCTGCAGGCTTTGGTGGGTCACAAAGCCAGGTTTATCATAAGTGATGGATGACCAGAAAAACAGCCCTATTTTAGGATACTCGGGAATTTATCACTATTTGCAAAAATTAAAAGCAGAACTTTCTGCCCAACAACTATACCACCTGTTATTCTGGGGAACCCGGGCTACTCTGCTCCCTGGCTTATTAAGCCAGATACAGGAAAATGCTTGGAAGACCCAAGTATTATCTACCCATTCCTCTTGTAGATGTAAAATTGCTGTTGTGCATTCAGCTGGCAGACTAAGGTGCCCAATGATACAGCAACAGAGCTTGATGGCTGTAAGAAATGTTTCCCTTGCATATTCTCTGCACCTTGTATTTTGCACAGTGCTGGAGAAACCAAAGAGCGAGAGATCTGATGAGCCGGAAGAGGAGACGAGGACAGGTGCGAGCAGGCCAGAACAGGGCAAACTGCCAGGATTACCTACAGAATGAATGCCAGGCATGCTCTACGCAGAGGCTTTGAAAAAGGGCATTGCTGGGTTAAGTACATCTGTGCAATTCACCTTTCAGCAAAATGGTGGTGGGAAAAACCCAGCACCATTTCACCTAATGCCTGCAACCTTGAGCTCATAGGAAACTTAAAAGCCAAAAACCACAACCCTCATCACCCTAATATCCCAAGACTTAACCTAAGATTGTTTTAGCTCCCAGGGAAATATTTTTTCTGGAGAAAAAAAAGGGACAAAACTGGAAAGAGAATCTCTGTCACTTACAGGCCTCGAAAAATCAGTGGGACCTGCCATGAGAGCACTCCCTTCTGCTGGCGAACTACAAAAAGGACAGGGTACTGCAGGTCCTCGGAGTCGCTCTTCACATACACCCGCACAGCATCCACCTGGGGAGAAAGGGAGACGTATCAGCAGGAGTTAGTGGAAGGTACTTTAGGAACAGCCCGTGTCTGTTGGGAGCTCTTCACTCCCTTACCACTGGCTTAGTCCAGTGATATTCAAACATTTTAGATTCAAGGGTCCCCTCAGAAAATGCCAGCTCTCAGCTTTCACACATTTTTTGACTACAGAAAAATAACAGAGAAATTCTTCTGTTGCAAAAAACTCAGAAAGACCACAACAGGACAGAACATTTTTGGCACTACAGATGTCTATTTGAAATCTCTGGGTTTATCTTGTGAATCAGGTGTAGGTGTTAGCATTGTTAGGTGAGCAAACAGCACTCTGGTTGAGAAGCACTGACTTAGCCCAGGGAAGGATATATCCCAGAGATGGGCTCCCAGGTGGAATCTCAGAAAGAACGAGACAGCGACTTTATGAATTTAGTTAGAAAGATATTCCACTTTGTAGGCAGAGGTGCTGGTGGGAGAGGGAAGGTGCAGGGCAGGGGAGTGAATAGTCAGGACTGGTGTCATTGGCAAAGCACAGGCAGAGGCTCCAGTAATTAGACACAGGGGTCCCCCATGACAGGGCTGAGCTGGAAAGCCTGCAGCTACAGAGCTGGTTGCAAGTCATTCGCTCTACACTGGCTGGAACCCAACCACTATTTGTGATTTTAAAGTATCAGACCAAGTGTAGGACTGGATCCCAGACCTGCACCATCTCCAAACACACTTCCCATCATCTCTCCCTCCCCCCAGCACACCCAATGCAGCATCAACCCTGCCCCAGACGGGGTACAGCTGCAACTGAGATTACCTCATACAAGCTGGGGGAACTACTCAGCCCCTGACCAGCCCAAACTGCTCCTTGAACCCTAAACAAATCAAAGTCGGGGGCACAAGCACACAGGATGGAAAAATAACCTAGGTCTGAAGAAGCCAAGGCAGGGATACCTGCAGAGGATTCACCAGGAGGGAGGCTGTGGTAGAGCTGGGAGTGACCCATGGAGCATGAGACCTTCTCTATTCAGACAGATGACCTTGGGAGGGAATGGATGGTGTTTCTTTTTATGAAGGGAGTAGGCTCTACCCAAAAGGTCTGGTTTAATGATGCTTGTCTGGCACTCCACAGAAGCCTGTAGCACAGACATGAGCATGTCATCCAATTCTCTAGGGTCCCGGTTCATTGCCTTAACCACAGGGCCACCTTTTGCCTGCCTGCTGATAGCCCTGGGCTTCTTCACTGTAGTGGGATACCTTCACACACAACTGCTGGTTGGGCCACTGCAGCTGTGCATCTTGAGCTTTGAAAAGGCAGGAGGGTTTCACACACCACTGCCAAGCACACAAGTTTAATCCAAGTTTAATGAGCTGCAGTGTAGATAAGGGTTGATTCTGCCACAGAGAGGGCCCAGAGTTCTCATCCTGGCGGTATCACGACCAACTTTGTGAAATCTCTTTTGTGTGTATTTACTGCACCTGCCGAAAAGGCAGGTATGACACTTCCTACTTGGGACAAGCACATATTTTGGGACACTTGAGACAAGCACATATTTTAAATGGAGTAGTAGTGTAGCCTACTGAGCGAGAGCAAGGCATTCTCTCTAGTGGCTTGACAACCAAAGACAAGGGGCTGCTTCTGCTGCTAGGTAGAAGAGTTCCTTTGGATTCCTCTGGAAGGCGACAAGGTCTCTGATCATTGATCAATCATGCCGAGTTGGGCCAGGCATTTGACCCATCACACCTGCCCCTGATCCCTGGCTAATGAGATTGCCCTAGTTTTGCACCAGATGGAGCTGCTGAAATCACTGTTTACTCCTTTTAAGCACACCGGCAGCCTCAGGCTTCAGGCACACCATGACAAGTCTCAGTCTGTTCTAGCAAACCTCACATTCACTGCTCCTGGTGATTTTCTTGGCCCCTGACTTGGCTTTAGCTTTTGTGGACTCTGACCTTGCATCTCCCCTGGAACGAGGCACTGGCTCTGACCCCTGGTTTCTGATCTTGGCTCACTTCTTGAACTATACCTCTTGGATTTTGCCTCTCAGCCTTCCTGGAACTTGGTCCCCATGTTTTCAGCGCCTCCAACCTAGACCCCATCTTGACACTCTGATAATCTGCACTCCTGCCTTGCTGACCCCCTGGTTGCTCGTGGTGGCCTACCCACAGGCCTGGACACCCATGTCCCAGCCAAACCCTTACAGAAGGCTTTGGATTCAAACTCTGCTTTGAGAAGCAAGCCTACCGAACTGTAAGGTGTTGGGTCTGCAGCTCAGCCTAGACACAGCTGCAGGTAGTCAGCAGTTAAGAGTCTGCCTGGCTGGAAGGCTAGCAGCAGCTGGAACTCACAAGGGAATTAGGGTGTAGCCACAAAGACGCTTAAACGTTCTGGGAACAGAAGGTAAAAGGAGGAGGAGGAGGGAAGGCTGTGGTGCTGGGAAGAAGCATAGAGCCTGGGTAGCTTCCTCAGGATCAGAGAAAAGACTGCAGGTTTTGGTTTATCTATCTGTGCAGCAGGAAGTTACCAAGATCCTAGAGCACTGATTCTCCACCATGGTCCTGCAGCACCCTGGGATGTGCCTTGAGATCCTGTTATGGATGTTGCAGGGCACCACACACTGTCAGCACTGTTAGGTGTGCAAATATGTTTCCCAAGATAAACTCAGATATTTCAAACAGGAATTCATAGTGTTAAAACCATTCAGGCCTGGAGTGATCTCTCCAAGTTCTCTGCAACAGAAGAATTGCTCTATTATTATTGCGTAGTCAAAAACCAAGTGAAAGCTAAAAGCTGGCATTTTCCAAGGGGTGCCATAAGTCTAGCAAGGGGTACCTTGAGTCTAAAATGGTTGAGACTCACTGTCCTAAAGCGAAGGAAAAATAAAGGGAGGCAGCTTATCTGCCTGCCAAGTCCTGATCAACTATGAAGTTGTTCCCCCAGGTGCCACAGAAACCACCCTCTGCAGAAGACACTGTCCGTTCCAGCATCTTATGGCCAGAAAGTATCAATTAACTTTGAGCAACAAGATAAGCCATAAACAGAAGAAAGCTGCAGCCTACAGTGAGCAGCAGTGCGCCCAGGAAACCCGCAGGAGCCAGTCTGCTCTAGAGGCCAGATATGCCGTGACAAATGCCTGCTTCCTCCCATCACCAAGGCAACAAGGAATACTTTATTCCCTTCCAGGTGAGAGAGGGATTTTAATGCAAGCCCATCCATCTGAGTCTTTTGTCGCAAAAGGACAGCACAAGCTGGAGCCCAGAAGCTTCAGAGAAACCCCTCTTACAGATTTTTCATTTTTACAGCATGCATCTCTGTGCACAAATGCACATGAACACACACATATGCATGTTTGCCTGGGGAGAGTGCACACTCCCAAAGAAGCAAGGAAATCCGTCTACACAAGGATACCAGACCAGGACTCTTCTGGAGACTGGATCTGGCAGCTTCTGCAAAAAGTAAATTGCCATTAAAAATAAAAGAGCCAATTTTCTAGCATTGCTGGCAATGAAGAAACCCTCCCCTGTGCAATCCCAGCCAGAGGCTGCCTACCCAAATCTGCAGAGGGAGCAAGAGCAGCATTCATTAATTCACTGCTCATGTGAACACAGAGCAGGTCTGGCTTCCCTAGGATAATGAGTTTTGCAATTAGAGTTTAATATATCCCCCCTTCTTTCCAGCTGGATTTCCCCAGTTCCTCCTGCTCCTTCCCATCCAACACCAGCTTGTAAACAGATCAGAGACAGGTACTGCAACAGGTCCACGCTACAGCTGTTACATTAGGGAAAAGTGATCATACAAGCATGTAAAATGCAAGCCAAGGGTTCGACTACAATGCAGAGCCCCTGATGCTGCTGCTAAGTCAGCAGGACCCCCTGCTGCAGACCTAGTGCATGCGGGGAAGGGAAGGGGTTCTGCCATTGTAGCCTATACTCCTCAGATAACAGAAAGCCTCTTCTGCGGGCAGAGCTGATCCACACTGGGGGACGGTGGGGGGAGTTGCTAGTACAGACATGTTGCTAGGGCTCCAATCTTTCACACCTGCCAGCTGACCTCTCCAGGTATCTATGCCTCACAGCCTGGGCCCAAGCTGGAAACAGTGAAGAGACCTCCTACCCTATTCCCATACCACCACCACCCCCCCTCTCACTAGGAATCCCAGGAGGGAAACAGGAGGATAGGAGGGGCACTGCTGCAAACTTCTCTTTAAACACATGAAAGTGGCCCCTCAAGATTGGACAGGCTGCCCAGGGAGCCTGTGTTGGCAGGGGCAGATCCAGGATTTTATTAAGGTGGGGATGAAGGAAGACCGATTACAGCTGCAGGGATACACCCTCTACCCCCCCTGGGGTGGGCAGACCACCCTGGAGAAACATCAGGCAAGGACTTTTTTCTTTAAGTCCTCCAATCAGATAACAATCACCCTCTCCCTGTCCTCCTCCCTTCCCCTTGTTGCTCTGAAGCACATCCCTTCCCCTCCTATGCCCCTCTCCCCCTCCTGCCATTGTCCCCGTGTTCCCTGGCTGACCTGAGGACTGCCAGGTGGGGGGAGGTGAGGCTCCAGAGACACTCCTGCACCCCTCTCCAGACAGGGTGCATAGGGAACGGGGCTCAGATGGGTCGATTTCCACTCCCTGAGCCTGCTCCCAGGCAGAAAGCAGGAGACCCCTGCTCACTGCAGCAGTTGCCGCTGTCCCCAGCTGACCAGGGCAGGAGCAGCTCTGGAGCCGCACAGTCCCCAAGGACTGCAGAAGTGTTAGAGCGGGGTGGGGTGGATGGGAGGTGCTGCTGAACATGGAGGGGAAGGGAAGAGAGATTTTTTTACTTGCTTCAGGGGCTTAAAACAAAGCAGGGAAGCATCTACGTCACTGCACCCCCTCTGAATCCAAACCCGCATGTCAATGTGCATATGGAGAGCTGTGTAGACCTGCCTGGAGATCAGAATCAGGCAGGTCACATTAACATGGTAAGAAAAAAATAATTAGTATGAAGGTCTCTGTCCTTATCT